CCCCCCCCTCCGCTCGGCTCCGCGCAGCAGCAGCTTATCGGACCAAACCATTGCCGCAGTCCAGGTCCTAACACCTGTCACATGAGCCTTCACATTTGCGAAGCGGCGGCCACCGCAGCGTCTGAGTGCGTTTACTCCACCGCACCGCACACGCACTCCGGACGCCGCCAGGTTGCAGACGCTGCCAGGGCGCAGCTTCCAACGAGGCGATCCGCTGAACTGCACCGACACCCCCATTGTGCGGCTGGCAGCATCACCCGCTGCCTGCAATGGCGCTGTAGCGGCTCCGGTGTGTCCGAACGCTCCCGAAGCGGCGACTCTGTCCCTCGGACTGTTTACTAACGTGGGAGTGCGATGTTATTGTTCGATAGAGGGGTTGTTGTTGTGTTTGCAGAGAGCATCCTCACCCCCCCTCCCGCTCAACACCGTGGATTACTGTTTATTTACATCACGGAGCCGGAGCCATGGATGTAAGTCTGACTCTTTTGTTTTTGCAACATTGAGGCAACATCGCTGTGTGGGGTTAACTCCGCCTTTTCGACAATCACCAATCAATCACCAATCAATCAATCAATCAATCAACAATTTTCATGTATACTTTATGTGGAAATCTGCACAAGGGGACACACGTGAATGAAGAAGAGTTAGACAGAGGGGCTGGAGCTGAGCTGTCATGTTGTGTGCGGTGTGGCTGACGGGTCTGTCTGATCCCACTGACACAATGCTCAAACCTCGAATTCATCCTTCACCTCTAACTTTATTCAGCACTCTGCGATATCCTCTGAGGTTGCACCAGTCCAAACAGATGATGTGTATTTTGCACCGAGGCCATCTAGAGTCCAGCGTGGTGAATAATGAATTATGAGCCAGGACATTCAGGTTTTATCCTCTGCTGCTGCTGTATCTACACCACCCAGGCAGAGGGTTTCAGCACAACTTAATGAATTCTCAGTGTCCCAGATGAATGTTTTATCCTTTTTTTCCTGAGTTTATTGTGTCACATTTCATTCCCCTCTTTTTGAAATGCATTTCCAAACAGTATTAAACATTAATGCCAGAAGGTATGGAATATTTAAATCCTACACCAGCCTGCAACCCCGCTCTCACCCCATATAGTTGCAATGGTGGGCAGAGGGCAGAGGCACAGTCTCAACATTTAAATCTCAAGTCCTTCAGTACATGAAATGCTGCACCTTTTGGTGCATTTAACCACAATATATGTGCAGTGAAGGATAAAACTAGCACACATTGCTTTGTCTCAGCACTGACATTTAAAAGTGACCACCATGATGTCAGTGATGGTTTATATCGCAGGATGTGGCACCGTTCACTATATAGAAAAAGGAGTGAAGGTGGTTAAGTGGGGAAAGGGAAGGAAACATCTAGAGTACAGCACAATAATGATCAAAGAGATCACAAATCTTTACACTAATATGTACAGCAAGCATCGATTTGAGAAGGTAAACAGCACAGCACTGCTGAACACACAACATCACCAGAGAGCTTTTAGAGACCAATAAGCTTTCATAACTTGTTCTCCTGCTCTTATGTCACTCATCAGCATCTGAAATCGATTTGGACCCTATGTTTTTTTTAATAGTTCTCTTGAACTCACATAACCATGCAGTGTTACAAAATGTTTCTATCTTAACAACATCTTTTCTTTATCGCTGCAGGTGTGAATTGGCCTAAAGGAACAACAATATCAACTTTGTCAGATAAAGCAGCGCTGCAGTAGGTCAAACTAAACCCCTCACTACTATGTTCTAATGAGGCCACGGCGATGCTGACATCTCCTTGGAATCCAAAGACCTCATCATGCTGAAGACGGAGGCTTCAGGGGAGAGGACCTGTCTCCGGAGTGCCTCCCCCCACCGTAATGCCTACCGAGCAGAGTTTCAGGCACTCAAGAAGGCCTTTGACCAGCCACGGATTGATGGAAACTCAAAGCCCAAAGACCTGGAAAGGGTGAAACAACCAAGGGGTCGCCAATATGGCTCCCATGTCAGCCGCATCAAGGACATGTTCATGCAGATGGGCACAGAAAGTACGCCAGCAAAGACAAAGGGTCAAGAGGATTCTTCGCCACAAAAGCTGGTAAAGCCCACCAACTTCATCAACAAGGCTGATGGATCTGTCATAAAACTCCAGCATTCCACATCGACTGATAGGATTGGAAGTGCCGGAGCAAGGTTCTCAGAAACCAGGAAGCTGTTTGAGCAGCAGTCCCGTGACCAGTCTCAATCACCAGTCTTTCCCTATGGACGTGATAAAAGAGGTTCCCATGAGAATCTTGATGATTGGCGAGGGGCAAGGTCCAACCGAGGCAGTACAGATTCTTTGGATTCACTTTGCTCCAGAGCAGAGGCATCGTCACCGACTGTCAGTCAACTCAGTGCTGTTTTTGAAAATGCTGACCACCATAATCAGGGTGTGCCCCACAGAGGAGTCAGCAGACGAGCCCTCTACTCTCCAGATGGATTCCAACGCCATGGAGGAGATCTCAGTGAGGATGATTCACGACAGTCTCCTGTTCGTGGTAACTATCGGAGCAGGATAGGGGGAAAGTTTCCTACATCGTTGTCCTCTGAGGACCTCCTCAGTCCCAGTCCTGGAGTAGAGACAGCAGCGCTGAAACCTGTTCTCAAAGAGGAGGAGTGTCAAGAGAAAGCAGAAAAGGTTGCAAGTACAGGTGGAGATAAACAGCGCCTTTCTGGGGCCACCACCAATGGAAGTCAAGTCAATGGTTCCTGTGAAGAAGAAGAGAAATCATCAGAAACAAGAACACATTCTGAGGATCTAGGGGTGTCCAAGGCTTCAGAATATACAGATGATGCTGTGATTACCAAACAACCAGCCACTCCAGAGCCCCTGCCAACTGCAAGAGCTGAAAGCCAGGTGGATGGAGATGGTTCAGTAGAAGACAAGCCCTCTGACTCTCTCAATAATCAAGTGGAAGAACCAGATGAGGAATACACTGGCCACGAGCGGGTGATTTTTAATGCAGACGGGGACGCTTGTTACCAGGGATGGGGTGAAAGCTGTACGGATCCTGAGGATGACCTCTATGGAGACGACGAGGATATTGTCTACGACCCGGGCTCTGATCTGACAGAGATTCCTGGTCTGCCAGAGGAGAACAAAGAGGACATCCCTCCAAAGAGAAAGATTTGCTTCAGCACTGCTTCCATTACAGTAAGTCGGGTGCCGCACAAAACTGTTGTGGAAGCCTAAACTGTGTAGAACACAATCCAACATAAAAGCCCTTGTGCAGCTCTTATCAGAAGTAGGTTAAAACAACAGAGCTAATATTGTATTCAGAGCTTCCTTTTTATTGGCTCATATTCATAGTTACCATGGAACTCCTTGTGTTTAGCTTTGATGCTTTCGCATGCGTTTATGGGGTTATATGATTATGATAAAACGATCAGTAATCTTTATTCTCGTAAGACCTTTGTCATGTGCTTATTTAACTACTGTCCTTTTAATGTGTTCTGCCATACAGTAGATAAATGATCGTATATTATAGCTCTTGCTCTCTGATGCTCTGAAGTGGTTGTAGCTATTTTGTGTGATGCAGAGACCGAGGGTCAAAGCTTTGCCCTCTGGGAAACTGAAATGTTCATGGGCAGAACATCTGTGCATGTGTTAGTCATGCTGGTGCTGCACCCACACAGTTCTCACACAAGATACTGTGTTTGTTTTTCACCGTATCTCTTAGATCAGGAAGCCATTTATTTAACTATTTGATGAGAATGTGCTGCACGTTGCAGTGGCAGAGTCTATATGAACCTGAATGTATTGTATAAACAGTGTTTGTGTTTAGTAACCTTGCTATGGCCGCTATGCTTGTGATAACAGCAGATGTTTAGGTAGAGTTTACGTGTATTTTACCATTCGTCCAATGGGAGTTTCACAAAGGTCACTATTTCTTGTGATAATGCCCAGTTCCCCCAATGTCATTTCCCTGATAGCAAGTCAATCTTCTTTATTTTTTTAACCAGAAATAGCTTTAACCCTTATTCCTCACATGCTTGAGTAGCTTTGGACACAAAGCAGCCAGTGTTGTTTGTGGATTGGGAAGATGGATTTGGAAGATTATGGGAAGTATTTTTCAGCCATTATCCTTAAGCATGTGGAATCAGTAAGCTTTATGTTCGTAGTAGTAAGCAACATGCTCTAGGTCGCTGTATTCCTTTTTTAATCCCTTTTTGTTGAATTTGACAGTGGAATCAGTTTTTATTTCTGCGATTTTACCCTGTTGACGTAAAATCTGTTGGTGTGCTTGTATACACATGAGATCAGTGTACAGTTGGGATTTGGAGATTAGGTTGTATGTATGCAGGATTTGGAGGCAACACAAACATTCCTCAAGTTGAGGATCAATCTTATTAACATGCTTTAACAAACCAGAACAATTAGCCCAGTTATTCTGAGGAGAAAATGTGATGTTGGCTTCACTAATTACCCTTCACTGTCTCTGCAGCGTGGGTCCTTCTGCCTCTTTCTCTTTTCCTCCCTCACAGGACTCACCTCACATGCTCCCAAAGATTATACAAGGATTTTGGGAATTTCAAAATAAAATATTAAAACTTTGTTCGTCTTATTTTAACAAAGGTTAAATATAACAATCAAATGTAATACATTTAAAAGATATTTACAAATCTTTAGTTTTGATCATTTTGGAATTTTGAATCTGAGTGCTTGTTAGAACTTGTTGTCCCATTTAGGTTGAATAGGCAACCAGTATGCTTCTCTGTTGTCTGTCCTTGCAAGGCCTCTGTTTTCTATGAAAAGGGCCGACGCTCGTTCATCATATGGAGAATTCTAAATGAGCACTGCCCCCGTCCCTTTACACAGACGCACACGCACAATTAGACATGCACCCCTCCCACTTCATCCGTGCCCCCCTCCTCTTGGTGCATGAGGAACAAACAGGGTTCTGTCTTTTGTTCGTCTATATTGTGAAAGAGACAAAGCTATTTTCTCAGCCCTCGGCCCTGCACGGGTCCAACCTGACCCCTGTGGGAGGAGACAGCCTTGAAAAAAAAACTGCCATTTTCTAATATAATACTTAATGTTCCCTCCTCTTCATACACTATTTTTTAGTCCTGCCCCATAAAGCGGATGAACCATTTCAACATCCCAGCTTTGAAGGCTTATTCAATTTAGAAATCATCATGGTACGGGGAGAATATTATATACAACCAGCTTTGGGCAACATTTTGTAAACATGCACACTGACTTAAGACTTAAGAGTTACTGTTCCAGATGTTCAAAGTAACATGTATTAGTTTTGATGTTGCAATAGTGTAGAGTTTAGAAATAGCATTCTTACCAATGCTTGCAGTTGATGGAATTCTGTTTTTCTGGTGTTCCAATTCTTTGGTCCAGAATGAAATATCTCATCAAATATTTGCTTGACTTCCATGAAATTGTTACAGGCATTCAGCATCCCCAGAGGGTTGATCTTACAGACTTACAATCACCTGGCTTTTCATAGTGCCACCATATGGTTGACAGTTTTGGCTTTAATTTAATTATATTTATAGCTATAAAGATTCCTAGGGGATGGATGTAAATCTGTCAGTATAGGTCAGAATTCAAATATATACTGTGAAATATCTCAAAATTGTATAAAATGGACTGGCACAAATTATTTTCCCAACATCCAAAGTTCCCAGTTGATGAGTATAGCGATTCTCCGTCTGTCCTTTAGGACTACCACAAGGTTCACACTCTCAGCAATTATAGAATATATTTCTTTTAAATTATTGCACATATATTTATGTTATACTGTGTTAATGTTGTCATTTGACAACAAATGTTTAACTAATGACAATTCAATCAGCCTTCTCTGTAAATATTAGCATGCTGGCACACTAAACTAGGATCCTGACATAGTATATCAATATATCAGCTTTGTCATTGCAAGCATGTTATAACATGGTGGCATTAGCTTTTGGGTCAAAGCTTTTCTGTGTCATAGTACAGAGCCACAAGCTTAGTTTTACAACACACAGCAAGTTTTTTCAGTTTTTTATTAATCATTACTTCCACATCCTTTCACTCAACTGCACCATCCAAACTGACCCAGTGAGAATATGTGATGGCTGTGAGCGTCCAAAGGCAAAGGCAGCCTCCCTGCCCGAAGGCACTGACCTACAGAACAGAATCAATTCTAAATTCATTCAAGCAACTGGTTTTATCCCTGATGTTACTGCTCCTAGTCGGGTTGTCCAGTTTGTGACGTACTGAAGCATACAGTGGTAGCATGCAGGTAGATTCAGTCCTCTATCATACTTTTGATGCATGTTCTGTGCAGCCGATATAACTTTGAGAATACAATGTTTAATCTGAAAGCATCCCATACATCTCCGCCACTGTTCAGTTCTGTTTTTTAGTTCGCTCAGGTTTTGAAAATTTCTACCTTGATCGTACACTGAACCCAAACGCTTTTAACAATCTCTCACTTGTTTCCGATTTCTCTCCACGGGATGTGTTTTCTCTTTCTCGTTGCTGAGCCGCACCCCAGGAGTTTGACAGCAAGAGTCTTTTCCCTCTGCATGCAGTCTGCTGTGTCAGTCTCCCCTTGTTTTTCCTCTGCTGCTCCCTCTACGTGGATAGAATTTACATTGTCCGTTTAATGATACTCTCTGCCTGCGGAGCAAGTGTGTTTTCATCAGTCAGGCCAATGCGATATCTTAATGGAATTAGACAGATGTGATGACTGGAGTGCCGGTTAAACGGCTGCTGAAGTGGCTGTGTAATCAGCCCCTCCACTCTGCATGGTGTCTGTTATTCTGGATCAAAGTGACTGGCGTTTTGTCCATTAGATTGTGCCGCTGCACTGTTAGTGGAACGCTGAATAGCATGGATCTGAGCTCCGAGCCATAATCAATATGATAAATGTGTGTTGGTTCCCTTTTTTGTGGCATTGGTTTTATAGCTGCAAGTTTTTGTTCATTTTTGTGAAAATAATGTATTGGCTGTTTTCTGCCTGTTGTATTCTGTAGCATAGAATGAAATAGTTGTGTTCATTCTTTTTACATAAATGTCGTATAAATATTTTTTGATGAATGGAGTGAATTCACAGATTTAACTCTAAGGGTGAAATGAGGTCACTGACTTATTTTCTTCTGAGTGATACCTTCATGCTGGCAGACATTTGTTTGCAAAAACAATCCTCTCACATTTTCCTCGTGTACCTTCTCTCTATGCTGGTTTGTATCTCACGCTGCACTACATCAAACCAATCCAGAGACTCATCTTTTACTTTACTGGAGCAGGAACTAACATAAAGACTGAAACCCTGATGCCTGCAAACAGAGACACTTCCAATTTACACTATCCTGGCGTCAGTCCTCAGACTCGCCAGGCATTAAGAGACGGTTATTTCTCTCAAGATTTGGGAGCTCATTTGCCTGCCCTTAATACAGTGCATGACAGCAGAGGCACATTCTGGTCTCTCCTGATTGCTGTGCATGACTGTAAACATCTGTGTGATTCCATCTTCCTTATCTGGGGTATCACCTAATACACTATTTTGCCTCACAAGCTGAAATTAGATGGCCTCAAGCCAGGAACCTTCTGACCATATTTTCTGATGAAAAGGATTAGTCTACTTTAGGGCAGTCTGTCCTTTTCACTGATGATACATGTGCCTTTCTGGAATCCTGGAACCAACACTGACATGGATTTTGTCAACGTCATTTGTAAGTAGTATTTAGGTCTGTAACACGATTGCTAGAGCTTTAACTCCTCAGGCCCAGTTTACACTGAAGTGAATATATGTAATATATATATATATTCTCTTCCATTTTAAAGAAAAATCCCTCCACACCATCTTTGTTTTCCAAAATATATCCATCCTGACAAGGACACAAAAACAACAACGAATGCCCAAGCAAGCATGCCAGGCCAGTAGGTGGTGATAAAGTCTACATCAACAATCTGTCAAATACCAAAGAAGAACACTGTGGTCCAATTAATATTGGGTAAGGCAGACAACTGTGAATACCTGTAATGTGGTGCGGTAATGCTAACTCTAGCTGAAAGTCAGCCATATTACTGCTTATCTACATATCCAGTTGCTACCAGTTGCAGCATATAAACCTTATTCTTGTGTTTTCCCTCTGTGAGCAGGGTGGAGGTGGCTGTCAACCTCATAGCTATGAAATCTATCTATCTGGAGA